AAACAAACAAACAAACAAAAAGAATTTATTGTATGAGAGGCTCCTGGGTGGCTCAGTTGGTTAATCGTCCAAGTCTTGGTTTCAGCTCAGGTCATGATCTCACAGTTGTGAGATTGAGCCCCATATCAGGCTCTGTGCTGATAGCATGGAGCCTGCTTGGGATTCTCTCTCTCCCTCTGCCCCTCCCTTGCTCCCACTCACTTGCTCTCTCAAAATAAATAAACTTAAAAATTTTTTTTTTAAATTACATGAATCCAAGTGTAATTAAATGTCTGGGCTTTGTTAGTTACAGTATTGGTAAAGAGAAGAGAACAGATTTTGTGGTCCTGAGCTTTTAGTAAGTGTCAGAAGAAGGAGAAGATATTAGCTTATATTATGGGAGGTACTATTTAGAAAGTTATGTTCAATGGAAACTTGATATTCTGATAAGGCTCAGTAAAGATATTAGCTCTTTTGTCTGATTCCTAATCAAATGCAGCCTGACACACTAAAACAAGGAGTCTATGTCTACATTTATAATGCTCAAAATGACTTTTTAAAACAAAGTCTTCATGAAATAGTTTCATTATTAGTGTGAATTTTGGAAATTAGACACACTAATTATCAAATACTGTATAGAATATACATATTAGCACTGAAAGAGATCTCTGGCGTCATTTAATCCAGCTGCTTATGTTAGTCAGCTTGAGCTGCCATAACAGAATACCTTCTGGAGACTGGAAACCCAAGATCAGGGTGCCAGCATGGTTGGGTTCTGATGAGAGCCTTTTTCCTAGCTTGCAGATAGCTAACTTCCTGCTCTGTCCTCACATTGGGGAGAGAGCAAGCGAGCTCTGGTCTGTTTGCCTTTTCATGTGACACTTATCCATCATGGGGGTCCCATCCTCGTGACCTCATCTAAATCTAATTGCCTCTCATAAGCCTCATCTCCAAATACCATAACATTGTGGTTTATGTCTATAACATGAATTTCTTGGGGGGTGGGGCACACAGACATTCAACCTGTAACACTGTTCATAATAATCACTTAGAAAATGTGAAAACCAGTTGGTGCCAGGACCCTACCTCCAGGCATTCTAATTTAGTTGGTTAGGGGGAGAGGCCTGGACTTTATTTATTTATTTTTTTTTTTAAATTTTTTTTTCCAACGTTTATTTATTTTTAGGACAGAGAGAGACAGAGCATGAACGGGGGAGGGGCAGAGAGAGAGGGAAACACAGAATCAGAAACAGGCTCCAGGCTCTGAGCCATCAGCCCAGGGCCTGACGCGGGGCTCGAACTCCCGGACCGCGAGATCGTGACCTGGCTGAAGTCGGACGCTTAACCGACTGCGCCACCCAGGCGCCCCTGGACTTTATTTTTTAAAAGCTCCCCAAGTGACTCTGATGTCCAGCCAGGGTTGAGAGCTACTGAGTTCATCCAAATGCTCCACTTGTTTCCACAGTGTTTCTGACAAGTGGTTAAATAGTTTCTTCTTGAATACCATACAACTGATATACTTTGAGGGAAAGTTTTGCTTGAATCAACTTATGTCAGCCTCCATTCATGCTACATCTGTCTTCTGGAATGATACCCGTAAATTTAATACGTCTTTTAATTCACAGACTTTCATACTTGGGATTGCTGTCATGTTCCCTTTAAGCCCTCTTTTCATCAGCCTTCATGCCTCTAATTTCTGCAACTTTCCCTCATCACCTGGTTTCAAATTTGGTACACAGAAATGAACATTAATCAAGTGGAGTTATTTTCTTCATTGACCTTGACCTTCTCTTCTTTCACGTGATGTCTGAATTTGCACTTGCTTTTTCTGTAGCCATTTCACAGCATAATGCAATATGTAAAGTATTTTTTTATGTTTATTTATAATTTTTTTTAAACATTTATTTTTTCAGAGACAGAGTATGAGTGGGGAAGGGGCAGAAAGAGAGGGAGTCACAGATTCCAAAGCGGACTGCAGGTTCTGAGCTGTCAGCACAGCTCCTTTCCTATGGAGGTCATTGGTAAAATTTTCAGATGTTTGTATTTTTACCTTTAGACATTTCAAAATGGATATAGTACTATTAGAATGCATTTTATCTTCTTAGAAAAAAACCCAGCTACAGCCCTAAAGCCAAATGCAGGAGGAGTTCCCTCCCACAGTGTGAGGAGAGTGTGAGGCACATAGCAGAGACTGACTTTGCCTGTCCTTTCAGAAAGAGGAACTTGAGAACAGGAGCAGGGACACTTACTCCCTAGGCCATCTTCTTAGTCCCATTGTTTTTTAGATATCAGCTTTAAGATTTATATCTCCAACCTTCTGTATCTAACCAGTCACCATCTCTGAATTTTGGATGTCCACCAAAGCAACTCAAAGCTGGTGTGTTCAAAACTCAGCTCTTAATACTACCTCCACAAACTTGATTTTCCCCCAGTGTTCACCAGCTCGGTACATGGTACCACCATTCATCCTAGTGGCTCAAGTCCGACACCTTGGAGCCATCTTTAACTCAGTCTTCCATTCTTCATTCAGCTTTACCCAGTCCAGACCACCAGCCTCTTTTGTATGGACCATTTCAGTAGTCTTCCAGCCACCCTTTCTGCTCCTGCTCTCTCCTCATGCATTCCCTAACACAGTTACCCAGGCACACACACACATAAAAACACTGTATTCTGTCATAGCAGCCACAGTGATCCATTTATTTAGCTTATTTTTATTTTTTTTAAGTTTATTTATTTTGAGAGAGAGAAAGTGTGAGTTGGCGGGGGGGGGGGGGTGGGGGGAGGGTAGAGACTATCCCAAGCAGACTCCTCGTTGCCAGCACAGAGCCTGATGCGGGTTTCAAACCCACAAAGTTAGTTTGAAGTCGGATGCTTAACCAAGACTGAGCCCCCCAGGCACCCTTGGAATGATCCATTTAAAACACAAGTCAGACTGTTAACGTTCTTTGCTCATAATTCTCCGTCATTCCCATCATACTTGGTTTAGAAGGTTTTTACCATAGTCTGGAAGTCCTTCATGGTGTGGTAGTGCCGTGTCTTCCACTTCATCTTCATTACTTTTCTCCTCATATTCTGCAGTAGCCACATTGCCTTCCCTTTGAAGATACTTCAGCATACTAAACACACTTCAGTCTCGGGGCCTTTGCACTGAACTGTTTGTGCCTAGACATCCCCCCACCCTAGACATCTCCCTGTCTTTCTGTCTCATTTCAGGTTTTGCTCAAAAATGTTGTCATCTCAGAATAGCCTTTCTTGACTATCTTATCTAAAATAGAACTCCATTGCTCTTACCTGGTTTCATTTTTTCATAGTACATTTCATAGTACATTTTTCATAGTACTTTTTACTGTTTGGTATCATGTTTCTTATTTTTGTTTATGGTATAACTCCTCTATTAGAACATAAACTCCTTGAGGGGTGCCTGGCTCAATCAGTTAAGTGTTAGTATTCAGCTCAGGTCATGAGCTCATGGTTCGTGAATTTGAGCCCCACATTGAGCTCTCTGCTGTCAGCACAGAGACTGCTTTGGGTCCTCTGTCCCCCTGTCTCTCTGCCCGTCCTCCACTAGTTCTCTCTGTCTCTCAAAATAAATAAATAAACTTCAAAAATTTTTAAAGAAAAGAAAAAAAAGAACATAAACTCCTTGAAGGCAGGGACTTCGTTTTCCATATCCTGTAGCTACACAGAATCCCTCTGTGCCCTCTCCTGCTGGGAGAAGGTGGTAGAAATGCTAACGGGCTCAGGCTTCAGAACTTCTCACTGCACCCTACCTCTTCGAGGATCTTAACCTTCTTTTACCTGTTTTGTATACTGAGCCTTTGTTAAGGCTTGTTCAACTAGATTTTAAAAATTCCAGGTTTTCATGATCTCTGTTTTTTCTCTCTCAAATGTCTAAGCCAGGATTATTCAAACCTTGATACACCTGACAGTTTGAGCTGGGTAATTTTTGTTGTATGGGATACAATTAACACCACAGTGAGATCCCATTATCTATTGGCCAGGTGGCACAAATGTTCAAATTTGAATCTTCCAGCTGTTGAGAATGTGGGGCAACAGGAGCTCTAAAGTGGCTGTTGATGGACATGTATATTCGTACTACCACATTGGAGGGGCACCAGGCTGGCTCCGTCGGTAGAGCATGCAACTCTTGCTCTACAACAGCAAGAGTTGTAAGTTCAAGCCCCATGTTGGGTGTAGAGATTATTTAAAAATAAATTATTACTTTTTTTTTTCTTTTTTTGAGGGAGAGCTTGTGAGAGTTTGCGCACACACACTTGAACAGGGAATAGGCAGGGGGGAGACAGAGAACCTTAAACAGGCTCCTCTCCCAGTGCCTAGTGCGATGTGGGGCTTGATCTCATGAGCATCGTGAGATCATGATCTGAGCTGAAATGAAGAGTTGGATGCTTAACCAACTGAGCCATCCAGATGCCCCTAAAAATAAAATCTTAAAAAAAAAAAAACAACCCATCACAATGGAGAAGAGTTTAGCATTATTCAGTAAAGCTAAGGATGTACATATCCCTTCATCTAACTCTAGCGCCCTGAGTACATGCCCTAGAGAAACTCGTGCATATGCAGAACAACATGCAAGTATAAAAATATTCATAGTACTGCTGCCTGTGATAATAATTGGAAAGCACCCAAACATCCATAAACAGTAGACAAATCCAGTACCACAGAGAAGTTGTGGTATATTTGTAAGCAGCGCACAGCAGTGGAAGGGAGCAAAGTACTCGTTCTCACAGCAACTTGCATGCATTTCATGAACATTAAACACAAAGGAGATACATACAGGTAGGCAGAATCCATCTCTGCTGTTTAAACTATACAAATGTTTTATGACTCTGCTGTTTGCTATGAAAAAAAGCCTGATTTCCAGAAGAGTAGAGCTTCTCTAACAAAGACGTGAGGTTGTGCAGAATAATTGTGTGCCTCGGTTGTCGTGTGTAACCCCAAGTCAAAGGTTTTTCCTTGTGTTCCTCTTAGAGAGCGCCAGATCAAGTGTCCTAAGTGCGATAAGCTGTTCTTGAGAACAAATCATTTAAAGAAACATCTCAATTCTCACGAAGGAAAACGCGATTATGTCTGTGAAAAGTGTACAAAGGCTTATCTTACCAAATATCATCTCACCCGCCACCTGAAAACCTGCAAAGGTCCCACCTCCAGTTCATCAGCACAAGAGGAGGAAGAAGAGGATGACTCCGAGGAGGAAGAGCTAGCAGACTCTGTGGGGACAGAAGACTGTCGAATTAACAGTGCTGTGTATTCAGCAGATGAGTCTCTCTCGGCACATAAATAAAAGCCAACTCTTTTGGATGGAAAATGCAAAAGGGAAAAACGTACAACTAGCTATCCACTACAGTGGTTTTTGTATAAAATGGTTTCTGATTTTTTTTCCAGCCGACAGTCAAAGCAGACTGGGAAAGGATAAAGCACTTAGAGAAGAGTATCCTAATGAAAACACTTTAGAACAGATTGGGAAAAGAGAGCAGGTAACCTATTTTTAAGTGATGTGTGGGGAGGAAAGCGTCAGCTTTTGAAGTCTGTTCTTTATTTACATGGGAAACTAGGTGGTGCATTTATACCTGAGTCAGAGCTGTCCTCTGCCCAGACCAATCAGATTTATTTTAGATTCTTCCATTGTTCATTTTCCTCCCAGCCCCATGACTTGGTCCCTGCCTCACAGCCGTCCTGATTGCTGATTGTGGTTCCGGTGTTTCGTTTTATGTAGACTATCGTGACTTAAGTCATCCCAGAGTGGATTGGAACACGGCAGTGTAAGCTTGTTACTTTGCAGCTGACAACGTTAAAGCAACACCTGCCTTAATCTCTCTTGGCTTCTTGGGAATTTAGGGTAGACCTTGCTTCCCAAAATTTCAGCAGATGCCTAGAGAGGGCAGATTAAAAAGGACTAGCCAGGCAGCAGGCAATGGTGGAGAAAAGAAAAGGAGAGACACTTGGGCCACTGTCCAGAAAACTAGCTTTGGCGGAAGCCAGGTTGAGCCACCTGGTTATTATTGCTTAGAGATCCTTGTAGGTTCAGACATGTGTCTGTCTCCAGTAAAGCCTCCAGCCTCTAGACAAAGGGGACCCGGAGGTGTAGTGAGCCAAGTAATGCCTGCTGGATAATCTCCTGACAACAAGCACATGTGGACTCAGCTGGCAAAGTGGTATCTTGGACCGTGGAAGGAATGAGGGAAAGATCCTTTATATCTGATTTATCCTATGAAAAAGAACAAGACACCATGAAAATGTTGCCAGCACGGAATGACAAATGATTCCAAACACATTGGGGCATTTGCAAGGTTAGACCTCAGCTGTCCGTGGTGAAGGATCTCCTCTGTTAAGCATGGCAGGTGCCAAAGGATTTTGAAGGTGTGGAAGGCTTAATGGTCACCACATGGTGTGTTTCAGGGTCCCAGCTTAGTTAGTTCATCCCTCCGGTCCTTCACTTGGTCTCACATGCGTACCCTGTTTACACAGCAAGAGGCAGACACATCCCTGAGCTGACGGTTGCTAGAACGTGCGCCTGCTCTAAGGTGCAGCCTTGGGGCTGGAGCAGAGAGGACTGTGGTAGGAAGGTTTTGCTGCTAATGTATTTATGGAATGAATGTATTTCATTCAAATCTGTATTCCTCTAGGAAGGATTAAAATAAAAGCCTTTTTTAAAATACAGGATTCTGCTTGTAATCTCATTTTGTGGAGGAAGAAGAATGAGTCATTTAGGGAAAAATCAGGTATAATTTTTCCCCCTAAGGTTAGAAGTGGAGAAAGTATTTCCTAAGTAGTGTAACTTTGAGATAATGTATTTGTGCATAACAGGGCTTGATCAAACTCTTTTTCCTGTGTTTCCCACTCTCCTCTCCTGCTTCTTTCCTCCCTGAGGGTCCCTTACTATGCTGCCTCCTTGGAGAACTGTGGCAGGTCTACGGTTGAGGGATGGGGTGAGGGCTGGCTGCTGATACTGGCTCATGAAGCCTCTGGCAGGCAGCACTGGTGGGACTGGGGCAGCTCCAAACTCAGCCTTTTGCTGAAGGCATCCTGGTGGCCGGCCACCTCTGTTCTCAGGAAACTGCTGGTGCTGGAACTACAGGCCCCCTTGCTCCTTCTGTCTCCGGAGCTCAGGCTGGGTTAAATTCCTTCATTTCCCAGCACTGGTTGAAATGCCATCACAGATAGTTAAGCCTGGTATGAAAACAGGAAGCCTGGAAAATAGTTTGAGAATGTAGCTGTTGCTTATTTACAACTGTCTCTTCCATTTTTTACCTTATTTTTTTTTTTAATCTTTTCAGTTTCTTTTGAGAGAGAGCATGAGTGGGAGAAGGGCGGAGAGAGAGGGAGGAGGAGAGAATCCCAAGCAGGCTCTGCCATGTGAGCGTAGAGCCCAGTGTGGGGGCTCGAACCCATGAACCGTGAGATCTTGACCTGAGCGGAAATCAAGATGCTTAACCAACTGAGCCACCCAGGCGCTCCGCCTCTCCTTTTTTACCTCTTCGACCTCAATGGCACGTTCTAAGTTGTTCCCAGAAAATGAACCGCCTGGTAACTGCCCTTTTGACAAGAGTTTACTCTGCCTTCTCTACCTATTAAAGGTGGCCTCATCTGTTGCTGCTGCTGGGGTCAGTCTGTTGTTGGAAGATAGTCACAGTGAGAGACAGGATAGGAGTGTGGGCTCTGGAGCCCTGCTGAATGTCTGCAGCGTGGGCCTTGCTGCATGATGGTTCGTATCCTTAGCCTAGTTTTGCAACCACTTTATGTCTGTTTACTTAACTGTAAATAGAGAATAATAAGAGTTCCCATTTTATAATACTGTTCGATGTTAAAGTTATTTGATACTAATTACTAGTTATTTAATGTAAAGGGCTATTATCGTGCCCCACATACAGAAAGCAGTGTTAGCTAATAATCTTTCAGTTTTAAATTAGCCACACATAGATTTCTAGCCTTAAAGTCTGTCGTTGACTCAAGATGCTCCAGGTTTTAGTGAAACAAGTAAAACTGGCATGATTGGAGTCTTCAAGGCCAAGCCTAGAAGCTGGTTTAGTTTTCTTGTACGTGAGTGTATATAGTACTTGGTGTTTCCTTCTTTAAAAGGTGAGCTGCTTATAACCTTGTGTGTGTGAACTCAGGTCCTTAGCACATCAAAGGGCAAAGAGGTGACAAGAATTTGTTTCCTTCAACCTCTTCAGCTTGTTGGCCTATATATACACTTCCTCTTTTTTTGTTTTGTTTTTGAAGTTTGTTTTTGAGAGAGAGAGAGAGAGAGAGACAGCAGGGGGACGGGCAGAGAGGGGGAGAGAGAATCCCAAGCAGGCTCTACATTGTCCATGTGGAGCCTGATAACGGGGCTCAAACTCACTGTGACATCGTGACCTGAGCCGAAATCAAGAGTCCTATGCTCCACCGACTGAGCCACCCAGGTGCCCCATACACGCTTCCTAGTAAACCCTCCTTTGTGTCTTCAGCGTACCAGAAGTGGTCAGCCTCTCGTCAGGTTTGTAAACTTACGGTATCTGATCACCAATGCTACCCCGTAGAGTCAAATACTCAATGAGTCTTCAGGTATACAAGTGATTACTATTATGGGTTGAATTGTGTTACTCCAAAATTTCATATATTGAAATTCTAACCTGTAATACCTCAGAACATGAGCATATTCGGCAATAAAGTCTTCAAAGAAGTGATTCAGTTAAAAGTGAGTTCCTTCATCTGGTATGACTGATCCAATTGAGGAAATCTGGATACAGGGAGACCGTGTGAAGACACGGGAAGGAAACCACTCGTCTGTAAGACAAGAAAAGAGGCCTTAGAGGAAACAATGCTGATCCTTTGATCTCGGACCTTTGGCCTCCAGAATTGTGAGAAAATTAATTTCTGTTGTTTCGGTCCTCCAGTCTGTGGTACTTATTGTGGCAGCCCTGGCGAGCTAGACACTGTCCACCTGAAGGTATCACCTTTATGATGGATGCTGAATGAACAGCTTTCAGTATAGTGATTGTAACTGTAACCTTAGCTTTACAGTTTATCACTCGCAACGTGAATGGCAGCGACAGTTCGACAGTTTGTAGTGGAATGTATTGCCGCTGGCAGGTTTCTGTACTTCTGAAAGGGATAGCATCACTTCTCAGCTATGTTTTTGTTCCTTCATTTTTCTCGCATATACACACTTGAGAGTCCTGGAGGCCCCCAGGCCTGTGTAGTCCTCACACAAGGACAACTTTTCCAAAACCATTTATTGGGGCGCCTGGGCGGCTCAGCTGGTTAAGCATCCGACTCTTGATTTCGGCTCAGGTCATGATCCCACGGTTCATGAGATTGAGCCCACATATGGGGCTCTGTGCTGACGGCATGGAGCCCGCTTGGGATTCCCTCTCTCCCTCTCTCTGCCCTTGCCCTGCTCATGCTTGCCCTCTCTCTCTCTCTCAAACTTTACAAAAGTAAAAAAATAAAAAATCTTTTAAAACAAAACATTTATTAAGCGCCAGCACAGTGTAAGGCTTTGTAGAGGACAACAGAACAGCCAGGACTCTGCCCTTGCCCCCTGGAACTCAAAATCTTAGAGACCTGATTGCACAGTTGGCTCACCTAAGGAGCTAAACAATGTTGAATGTCTGGGTCAGCCCCAGACCTACTGATGAGTTTCCTGGACTCCCCAGGTGATCCTGAACCCGTCCGCAGGAGTCTTCTATTGGAGACCACAGAAGATACAGTTGTAGACGTCTGTACCTGATGCAAGCCATACCATGGTGAGTGTTACAGGTATAAGTATTATTAAAATCTAAGAGCAAGAGTGAAAAAGTCGTAAGAGAAGCCTAGTAAAATGGGGGAGAACTGGGTCTAGGTGTAATAAATGAAGATGGGGCAATGCATTTGAGATCCAGGACTAAAAATCTTAGAGAATACCTAGCTTACCAAATCAATAGCTGCTTTTTGATTATTTTATTTTTGATTACAGTGATACTGTTTCCTTGTGGCAGGCATTGTTCTAAATGCGTTAGAAATAACATTTACTCTGCACGGTGACCTGTGATTATTTTTACGTAAGAGGCTGAGGTGCAGAATTATGTGGCACACGGTTCCACGGCTAGTAAGCGGTAGTGTGTGCCTTGTTGGTGCTTCAGCAGTGGCTCGGTGAAAGTTGGGATCTCACCATGGCATATATCCAGGTTACAAGTCTTGCAAGGAAATCACAAAATCTAAACTATTCCACTACACAAAGCATATGTGTATACACGAATTAGGGAGCTCATGAAAAGCATGCTTTGGTCTCTGGTCTCTGCTGGAGCACCTCCCCCTGCC